GCCGCATTTTGCCCACCCCTGATATATAGACATATATTTTTACAAAAAAAAAAAATATTGTGTATCTGAGTCCACGAAGGCAGTTTTCCACAAGTGTCCCCAGGGATATCTGTTCTTCTGGTGTGGTTTAGTACCTGCTGTGGTGTTGGGGCTTAAAGCCCACTTTATGGAAATTGGAGGCTCCTCCCTAGTTTGCATCTGCCGCCATATGACAGAGGGCAGCCGAAACTTGGGAGCATCCAGGCTTGGGCCTGCACATAGGATGCCTGCCAAAAGACTTTGGAAATATTTGAAGCCCCTGGTGGGGGTACAGGATGTTTGCTGATAATAGGACCACTTATGGTTCTGGACTGACTCATGAATTTGAACTTGATTTGGCTGATTTGGCTTGGAACACAAAAACATTATTTAAAAAAAAAAGTTTCTAATTAGCAGAGGGGTCTCTAATTGCTTCTTGGCCTCTTATTGGCTCAGACCAAGCAGAGTCTATGCTTACCTGGCAAAAGAAACAGTGACCACGGAGGTGGTCTTCATAGCCGCATTGGGGAAGATCGCTCTCCTGGCACAGGTATAGTACCTGCCAACGTAATAAATAGTAAACCTCCCACTTAGCTGCTGAAGTGGAAAGGTCTTGGCTTTAAGACTTCTTTATGGAAATGGGAGACTTCTCCCTGGCTTGCCCCTGGGGCCTTATAGCTGAGGGCAAGAAAAATCAGGGGCATCTGGACCCCAAGCCTCTGGGCTTGGGCCTGCAAGTAGGATGCCTGCCAAAAGTTTTAGAAACATCTGAAGCCCCAGATGGGGGTGGAGGATGTTTTCTTGTAGTAGGGACACTTATGGTACTGGACTGACTCTCAGATTTGGAATTTCTTTTGGCTAATTTAGCTTGGAATATGGAAAAAAAATTTTAAAGCATCTAATTGGCAGAGGCTCCTGGGCCAGGGCCCCACTGGCCCATTTGTTAATTTGCCTATGTACTAGCATGATGACCTTCCTATATAGGTCATATTTTGGTTTGGAGAGGGGGATAGATGGTAATAAAGCAGTACTGAAAGCTTTCAATCTCAACCCTAGTGTTGGATACAAAGGACCAACTCATGGGATCATGCCAATTCTAGTTTATTGGATGAGATGTGAAGTTACTAATAAAATCATAAATGCAAACTTTGAGCTATGGGTGGTACTGGTCACCTTAGCATGCACGTGCACACGCGCGCGCACACACACACACACACACACTCATTTATTCAAACCCATGTCATTCAAACCCATGTAGTATACTGTATAGGAGCTGCTGTAGTGATTGTGAGAGCACTGGTTCAGTATATCCAAGGCCCTGGAGTCTGCTGGTGATGGTCAGCTTTCTTCAAGGTGATGTCATCTTCAGAAGGGGGTCGTCTGCTTGTCCTTCTGTCTTGGTAGGTCAAGTAATGGATGGCAGGGTGCCACTGAGGGTCACACTTCACTGCCTTTTATCTCATTCTGGCAGACTTGTGTGATCCCTCAGTATTATCTTGGCTACCCAATCCAGAGGTCTCTGTCCTATGTGGGTCTTGAGTAGTACATGATAGCTGTTAGTCACAGGGGTCTCTGCCTCCTGGTACCTGAAGTTTTAGGAGTCCACCCTTGACTTATTGACTTAATGGCTGTATTGTCATGGGTTACAGGAATAGTCCATAGGGTAAGTGCTCAGTTCCAATAATCAGTTCTTTAGCTTGATTAGCTTAAAATGGAGTCCCTTTGGTTAGGCTATTGTCTACTGATGAGCATCATTCGCTTGCATTCACTCAAGGGACCACCCAGTATAACAAATTGTATCACTTTACAATTACAATTTCAATGCAGTTTTAACAATAGTCCAGGGTGTAACTTCATTCTACAGGGAGTACATTCCTTAAGAGTTTAAAAGTATAAAATACAAAATGCCGTGGTAAAGATGAGACAAATGAAATATAAAGATGCACTGTGATAAATATATAAAAATGCAATGTGAGATAGTGAGGTTCAAAGACTACTGGGGACAGTAAATGAGTTATGTTAGCACAGGATATATTTACGGTCTTTGCAATGGATATTTTAGTTCTTCTGTTTTCTTTAGCGACACTGAGCTTAATTGATATATAGATATAGCTTCTAGGTTTCTTCTACAGAAAGCCACATTACCTTTCTGGCTTGCTCTGAGCCTTGCCACACCAATGCAATGACTGGGGGGCTGCAGGTAAGAAGGGGCTTCTGTTATATCCATGTCCAGAAGGGAAATGTACAAAGGGGACTTTCTGCTACACTAGTAGTTGTGCCACCTTTTGCACAATAGTCTATTGGTTAAAGTGTGCAATAAGGACGTGGAAGACAGCTTCAGCAGTAGGAGAGACACAATTGTGTAATGAACAGGGGGCAACTGGGGCATCAGTTTATGGGACCAAAGCACCTAACAATTTTGACAAAAGCAAAGTGAGAAAAGAGGAAGCAAAAGGAGCCAGATAGCAGCTTTGCTTCCTTCTGCTCTGTTGAGCAAAACAAGCCAGTTCCTCTCCCTCCCCTCTATTTCTGCAACACAAGACATGAGAAGCTAAAACATTACTGGGGTTGCATCTCCCCAGACCTAAAATAAGATGGGCAAGACAACCCTGAATTTTCTCCTATGCCCCTTCCAAGCTAAAATTAGCCAGGTTCAGGCAGCTGCACTTACTACAGAAGCAAATGCAGTTGCCCAGCTTCCAGAGCAGAAGGTAGCTTGCTTGGTACAGCATGAGGTGTTTTCCAGCAACACCTCTAAGTGTGATCCGTGAGCAACAGACACACACACATTTTATTCTGGACTAGTCTGGACTGTTATTCTAGACCTCCATTGTTGCAGGCTAGTGGTTCTCAGCCAGGGAGTCTTGGCACCTTGGGATGCTTTGAGATCCTTTTAAGGGTGCTGCGGGGTGCCACACAACAGGATTCATGGGATAAACCTGAAGACTTCACATAGGGATCCTTAGTGTTAAAATTATTCAGCCTGTGGGCTTTGCCACAGAAGAATGGCTTTGCTATTCTTCTCTAGTAAAAATAAATAAATAAATATAATTGGAAACTATGAGTGGGCATTTCCTGAGTGGGTGCCTCCAGGCTAAACCAGGGTCCCAGTACCTTTGCAAAGGCCATGTCACACGATCACAATAAAGCTGGATAGAAACAAGCTTCAGAGTTGTTACACAGTTTCGATCACTCATTTTGTAGCCACTGGTTGGCTCTTTTTATAACAGGAAGGACCTTTTTTACAGTGCGATAGTCACTTTGCACCTGCAGGCCCTTTTACAAGTTCACATTACAGCTGATGAGAAGCAGTGCTCCCTCTAAAGTGCAGCAATCTGTGAGCATGCCACTTTGGTCCGTGAGCATGCCACTTCGGTCCCGCCTCCCCCTTTCGGCTTGCGCTGCTTCAGAAACCAGAGGTGTCTGAGGGGCACCCTGCATAGAGCCCTATAAGGGTCAGGGACCCTGGGACTGTAGTGGAGGTGAACAGCCTTGTCTGGGGTCAGGGATGCCAGGGGACTGGGATGGATGGAGAGGAGCCTTGCCTAGGCCATCCCAGGGGACTGGGATGACATGTGGAACAGGGCCAGGGGCCTGGAGCCCAAAGGGGCTGGGGAGCGCATTGGGAGGTGAAACACTGAACTCAAAATATCCCAGAACTCCGGGCTGCAAGAATAAGAATTAGAGTTAGCTACGCTATTACAAAGTAATGTATTTATGGGGAACTACAGTTATTTCACACTGACAAGCTATCAGTCATGTAAGATTCTGTCAAGAGCTATTACAGAAGTCAGTAGGAGTCTGCGCACAAAGAAGGGAACCCCAAGTCCTATCTCAGGGGTGGGCAAAATACGGCCCAGAGGCTGAATCCAACCTGCCAGGCAAATGAATCCAGCCCACAGGCAGGCGCCCAATTAATTGCATCTGGCCTGGCCTGCAGCTGGCCCTACTATGCTCCGCATGGGGCCGAGCCCAGCACATTCCCCCTGGGACAGCGTGATACGCTGCCACACTCACCAGCAGGAGGGCCCCGGCCCCAGCCAGTGTGCACAGCTTCCAGGCAGGGCAACCACCGCTGCTTCAGGCTGCAACGGGAGCCCACATCAGCCCCAGCCCCCACCTCGGGGAGCAAGGAGGCACATGGGATCGGTGCTGGGGAGCGGAACAGTTCCCCAGCGCCAATCCCCAGCCCCCGCCTCCTTGCCTCACCTCACCTCACCTCGTGTCCAGCCCCAGCCTTGCCAAGGACACACATGGCAAGGAGCCACTCTGCCCCAGCCCCCACCCCCACCTCGCCTCGCTTACCTTTGTAAGTGTCCTATGCCAGCCCCGGTGCCTCCGCCATGCTCCACACCCAGCTCCTCTCCAGGCAGGTGCGTGGCATTAGTAAGTTAGTGTGCAGCAAGATTTTAAATCATGCACGGCACCTTGGAGGGGAATCTTGGTTGACCACTGTATGCGTGGGTCACCAGCAAATTGCACGCTATATGCAAAGCGTAGCAAGGGTCCAGGGTCCCATTTACACTTATTGCGTGGGTCACCAGCGAATTGCATGCTATATGCAAAGTGTAGCAAAGGGTCGAGGGTCCCCACTACATTTGTTGCATGGACGATCAGCAAATTACACCATATATGCAAGGCCTAGCAAGCGGCCAGAGACCCCCTTTACATTTATTGTGCAGGTCACCAGCAAATTGTGTGGCAAGGGGCCAGGCTGACCCCCTTACATTGATTGCGTGGGTCACCAACGAACTGCACGATGTACACAAGGCATGCCGAAGCAGGCAGGGTCCCCTTTACATTTATTGCGCAGGGCTCGGGCCCAGCGCTAGACCAGGGAGTCAGAAACCAGGCAGTCAGCGCGACGAGAAAGCGTCAGGCGAGTCACGCGCAACCGCCCCAGAGAACCCGGCTCAGGGGTGGTGAAGGGACCGAGTGCGCCTGCGCACTGGATGCCAGCTGAGGGAAGGAGCGCCCGCCCACCCCACCCCGCCCCTTTGGCCTGTGATGTCAGCGGCGCTGCCCGAGGCCCGCTCTGTTAGTCGTGGTGGAACTCGCGTGCCAGCCTAACTGTCCGCGCGTCACGTAATCAGGCGGGAAGTAGGGGGCGGGGCGGGCGGAGAGGGGTCGTGCTGTTGGTAAGGGGCTGGGGGTCGCGCGCCCCGCAGCGCCGCTATGACGCGGCCTCGGGCCCGCGCCCCGATGCTGCTCCTGCTCCTGCTTCTGCTCGTCGCGCTGCTGCCGCGCCCAGGCCTGGCCGGCTCCGGATCCGCGGGGCGGCCGCCCCCCGGGACCGGGGGGGGGC